TTCCGTTGCTTTCCAGCCTGGGTTGTTATGCGTTTTTTGCAGCTATGCAATGCAAAAACTCATATTGACGAGGGGTTGTCTGTGTGTCCATATGTCTGTGTGTGCGTCTGTCCCGATTTTTCATCTCAAGACCTATAAAAGCTGAGGGTTGAAACTTTGGGAACTTGATCTACATGCACGTACGAGCCCCAGTCTAAAAAATGGGCGCCATTACCTGCGTGATATCCACGCAAGAGCCCGCCAAAGTTTTTTGCAGGTAACTTCATAACTCGGGAATTTGAGAAGCTAGAATGCTGAAATCTTAGGGGGATGTTCCCCATCCAAGTAGGTGTAAATGCACTCAAACCCATCCCCCGGGTAAGCGTGGTACCCACGTACGGGCCCGTGCAATTTTTTTTCGGCTAGTTGATAAGTCAGGGATCTGAAAAGCTAGAAGGCTGAAATGTCAAGGGGATCTTCACCGTCCAACCGATATTAATGTACTCAAACCCAGCTTCGGGTGTGCGTGTTACCCACGCACGGGCCCGCCAAAGTTCTTTCCGGTTAAGTTTATAACTCGGGAATTTTAAAAGCTAAAGGATTGTAATTTTAAGAGAATATTCCCCGTTCACCTAAGTCTCATTGAGCTCAAATAGAGACACTGGGTACGCGTGGTACCCCCATACGGACCTGCCAAATTTTTTTTGGGGTAATTTGCTAACTCAGGAGCCAGGGAAGCTAGAAAGCTGAATTTTTAAGGGGTTGTCTCCTAACAATCTGAATTTGTTTAGCTAGAAGCATTTGCCGAAAAAACCTGTGCCCGTAGCGGCAAAAACTGCGGAAACTATGCAAAAAACGCGTCTTCGCGCGGGCAGGCCGTGCGTTGGCCAATTATTATTAATGGAATCGTCGAGAATTATCACTGGCTGGAGAAATCAAATGAATTTTGCTGTGCTTTTTAGCATCATCTGGATGGGTCACTGCTGGATAGCAACGGCAATTCAACAGTAGAATTGTCGCATGGAGCGGTGCAGAGGCAATCATTTGTTTCAATGGACAGTCCGTCGAACAGGGCTCGGCATTCAGTGTCCATGTGCGGTATGACTTCCTCATCGGCATCGGACAGTGGCTGCATGATTGAAAGCGGTAGCTCGACGGCCACCACCGACGAGGATTATAAAGTAAACTGCTTTGTGAAGAAATTTTATAAGAGTGATGTTACAGTTTAGTTTCAGAAATTTGACGAGGAATGTACGAAATTTTGAAATTTTCCCAGTAGAAAATAAACACACGGTGATTTTGCAGGCAGTGCTAAGTATTGACGATGTTAGCTGTATCAACAATAATAACAACATTATCAGCACTGGTCCAGAGGACAAACCTCCGTCCGTTTTCACAAAAGCACCCGGCAAGTTACTTTTTCCGTAGGAAAATCACTATTTGCTAGAACTGTAATTTTGACCTATTTTTTGCATAAATTCCCTCTGGAGAACCACTGAATTGCTATCCTCTTCAAGAAACGAAACGTCAGCAGGCTGACCTCTACTGTTCAGAGTGACTGCAGAAATAGACACGAATACAGCTCTTTAGCTTATCTAGTTGCAAGTATGATCACAAAAAGGTAATCCTGGGACCCCTTCCACTGCTATCTTGTTCGCAATCAGGGAAGCATTCTTCAGCGATGTTTTTTGCTTCCGTCTGTAAATGCTTTGCGAGCAGTGCAAGCAAACAAAAGCAGTGATACGCGAATACAAAAACTGCCTTTGACAAGGGTTTTCGTCCCAATGCTTTTTATTTCGGCTCATGTACCTCATCGGGATGCTCCGAACTGCATGATTTCTCATTTTCTTCCCGCAGAATTTTTAATATCG